AAGAATAGTTAAAGAAAAGGAAATAGACATAAATAAATTAGATGTTAAAATAGCTGAAAAGATTTCAGATTTAAAAAAAAGCACAAATGTTTTGTATCTTTTATTGTACAGTTTATTATTCTAGTATCTTTCAAAAAACCAAGGAAATAAATTGTATGTTTACAAATCAGTTATTTTAATCTGCAAAATATTCTTACATTGTGATTATAATAGTAGTTGACTGTGTTTAAATAAATATCAAATAAGTTAAATAATAATCATGTAAATCTCTAAAATAGTGACTGTTATTAGTGTAAAATACACTTATACATGTTTTTCAAGAAATTATGTTCCTAATTTAATGTTATCTACTTCATAACTTGTAGGGAGTTAGTTTAATTTTCAAAATTGTTTTATGGTAAGTATTAAATTGAATTTAATAATAGTGCATAATACACACTTCTGTTAGTTTCTTAAAGTGAAATTACAAGCATGAAGTCGGTTGTATGGATAATTACTTTATTCTATTCCTTTTTTTGTTTGGTGATAGGTCCTTTATTTTCCTCTTTGATGGTCCTTAAAAGTCCTTAAATGTCCTTAATTTTCATGTAAGGAAATGTGTACGAACCCTGAAGAAAGAAAGAAAAGCTTAATATTTATTTGTTTACCTTATTAAACATTTCTTTCAATGTAAGTTGTTAAAGATGCTTCGTTTTTTGCGCTAATACTTTCTCTTTAATTCTGTAGACATTAGTTACATTGTTGAAGTCCTGTAATTGGTGTCAAAAATTCCAACTAATTTGCAATTGAAATTTGTTCGTTTTCAGTAACTTCTCTATCACTTTTCTTCACTATTGGTAGCAGTACTTTCTGGATCTAGAACCATACTACAGATTTCACCGTTCATTAATTGATTGATGATTGAGAAGCATTGTCATCACTATGAAGAACATCTTTTATATCATTTTCATTTATTACTGCTCCTCCACATTTCTTTACAAAATCCGTTAATTGGAAAATTTCACCTTTGTTTTACGATATCCGAAAAACCTTTAAAATTCGTGGCTATCATCATCAAAATTAGCTATCGTGCACTATACATATTTGGCTATGTATCATGAGCTTGGTGACTAACGACCAGTTGTTCTGTTAAATTTTATCTTGCTTCTGTCGCACACTGAGACAATTAAGCCTGAATTGTATTAGGTTAGTTACCTATTATACTTCTTGCACATGCTTAAGGCTTATCGGAGTTCTGTATAAACTGCCACATATACTTAAGCCTTATTAAGGACCGGCACAAGATATCTTACTGCCTGATGCAGTCTCTGTGAATCTTATATTCTGGGACCCGGTGCTGCCATACGAGCCCTGGCGCTGGTTCTGGGTTTATGTTAATAACAAATCAGTTATTCTTAATTCAAATAGCCCTAAATGCAATCTTTGGGTCTGTGGGTATCAACAAAATCTATTTTTAACATATGGAAAGAAATTTTTGTTAAATTTTTCCTCGTCAACATGCCTTAATTCTGTAACCATCTAAAACCATGTGGCAATAAAAAAATTAGGCAGTTGCACTACGTGGGTCATTACTCATGTGGTGTGATTGATAAACAGGTGGTGTAGAAAACGTGATTCGAGGTTGTATCTATGTTTCGGTTATGTGGAATGTTTCGTTTTGAGATGTATGCCAAGCTGATACGTAGCAATGGAGCCAAATTACTGATCCTACAAATTTATGCTAAAATGATTGTTTCTTCAATTAACAAGGTATTTTATTTAGTTTCAAAGTGAAATTAAGAATCAGGACTCTCCAGATGTTGTATTATATGTGGAGGGGGGGATTCAAATGTGCATGCTTAAAACCTACGAGAAAAACTTTGTTGGTAGTTTTGAGGTCCGGATTTTAGATTTTTCCAGATATTGAACGTCCAGATTTTGGACTTTGTAATGTATCTTACTTGTCAACTTGTGTGTGACCGTTGAGTATAATCTAGAGTTTTAATTCTTTTTCATTTTTTGCTCCTATAGGATTCAAACATTTTGTTTCATTTTTTAGACTTAGTATAAGTTCATGTTTTCATTGCATTTTAAGTTCATTATTTCATTTTTTAGAATGAGTATAGTTTTATTAAATACAACTATTGGGACTGGGTAAATTTTTTTGTAAATTTAAAAATTTCAAAATGTGAATATTTGCTTGATTTAAAACATTTGTTTAGAGTATGTGTCTGTGACCAATAGTTGCGAAAATAAAAGCAGTGTAAGGACTTTTGTGGGCATGATGTATGTATAATGTTGGTTTCCTTTTATATAATTGTAAGAGTTTATGAAAAGTCTGAAGTAATAGAGCATCTATAAGAAATTGTATACTTCCGCATACATGGGAAATACACTGTGTATTATTTTCCTGTGTAGTTATCTGTTTAAATCTTTTCCTTATTTTGCATTTTTTCATGATTAAAGGTTATATTTTCTTGGTTTGTATATTTTTGGCTTTGTATGGCCATGTAATATGAGATTTGAAAGAAGTGTTTTTGAATAAAATTCAAAATATAGCATGCAATTAAAACCAATTTATTTTAATATGAACATATTATAAACAATCTATACTGTAATTTTCAAATATGCAGCTCCTTTTAGAGCAGTTAGCAAGATCTAGACCTGGTTACTGATTGTACATTTCACAGTAATAACTGATTTATTTTAAACAAATAATTTTTTTTACAACTAATGTCATGTCTCTACTACCAGTATCACAATTTTATATCACTAAACAATCACTTTCTAAATTATTTTCATAGTCATCAAAAACAAATTCATTATTACAGTTCTTACATAACTTTTTTTCATTTACAGTTTTTGCCATAGTGACTAATCTATTCTTTTGATCTAACTGGTGTGAAAAAATTACTTGAATATTGAAGTTAATAAAACAGAGCTAGACTTATAAGTTATAACTTTTTTTTTTCATTATATTGTTGGTGTGCCTTTGAGGCAGACTTTGAATGTGACACCAAACTTTGTTAATGTGGCAGGAGTGCTTTGAATGCAAAGAATAAAAAAATTTTTAATACTTTTCTGTTAACAAGATGCCACCTAGCACCAAGCATAAATGTTGGTACTAAATCTAATTATATATAAAGCTTCATAAGAGGAATAACTTTTTTATATAATGAATGTAATATAATATTTAAAGCATACCATGCCAAGATTGTGTACATTTGAAACATTTTTGCATTTCTCTGATGTTTTTAATCTAAGGGGAAAAAAAAAAAAAAAAAAAAAAAAGATAAATGTACAAATTGAACATTGTACACTTAAACATTATGTGTATTATACAAAGCTGTTCATGACTTGACATAAATAAGCTATCCCATTTGACAACTGCTGCTTCATTAACGAAAAAGTACCGAAATTCTTATTATTTTCTAGTTGTGAGGATAATGCTAGTTCCAAGAAATTTTCTGCTAAAAATTAAGAGAAAATAGTTAATGCTCTATTTCTGTGCATACATCCAAAAATAAAGTTCTGCAAATCTTCAATAACATTCTGTATTATAAAACAAATTAATTGTTTTTTTTTTTTTTTTTTTTTTTTAAATTCTGTTACTGAACCGGTTATATTTAACAAATTACATAAATTTTATATGCATTTTTTCTAGATAGTCGTATTAAAAACAATACCTATCTTTAAAAAGTGCACAAAATTTAACTTTAGTGTGGCATTAACTTGAGATGAAAACACCTAGTGCATTCTGTAGAGAAGATCAGATATGGATCTTTCTTCATGAGCAGCAAATATTCTGCCATAACACTAAGTGAAAGGAACTTAGTTATCAAGGTGCTTCTTAAAATGTATTTTGAATCACATTAACTGTGGCCAGAATTAGTGCAAAATGCATATTTCTAATGTTGGGTATTTGGTTGTTATCAGGTTATATTTTTATTACATTTTTATGTATGAATAATAATTAAAATTTTATATGCAAGTATCAAATAATAATTGGTATGAAGAAATTATTACAAATTGCAATCTGAAAAACATCAAATTATAATTTACATCTCAGAATTTATTATTATAATTTTAAAAAGTATTAAAAGTAATAATTATGTGCTAGTTGCTTATCATGTAACATTAGAAGCATCTCTCATTAATTATAGCTATCTGCAGATGCTCATAAGTTATCAGTTGCCTTTACTTTAAATCATATCATTATTAAATACTTTATTAAAAATAAAATAAAGATTTATATTATTAAGAAGTATATTTATTGCTTTTAAATTATTCAGTTTCTCAATCAGTAACAGACTAGTTAAATTTTAAATATTGAAGATTGAAGATCTTGTAATTTTATGAATGGCAGTGCTTTGAGAATTTGCTAAGTATGAGGGTGTGTAGAAGATAAATCAAAGATCTTATAATCTGCACAATGTCAACATTGCCAAGGGCTGTCAGTGGATTCTTGTCATTGTTCTCATCAGTTTCTGAGATATGATCATAGCTATAGATTATTTGCTTAGTTACATATATTTTATTTTGCTAAGACATGTTTTGTGTATGTGTGTTAAGTGAAAACCATGAATCTTTTTTGACATGTCATAAAAGCACAACCCACAACTTTAAATTGAGCTTAATAATGTGTATAAAGTCCACAAGACTTACTTTTCCAATGAAGTTCATTTGGTTCAATAAGTAATTGTCAAAGGCTTACTATCTTGACACACAAAATTACTATAATTCAGTATAAGCAGGAACTTTTCACTGCTTATGAGTGATGACACGAGAGAGGCAGGTATAATATTCGAAACTCCATTGTTATTTGTGAGCAATGTATAATAAGTTTACAGGTGATATTAAAAGATGAAATAATATCTGAAATTTGAGAAATGCTACATTTTGAAAATTATACTGATAATGCAATATGTGTTGAATCATTAATTAGACTTCCTCCTTTTCTTTACATATTAGCTATAACATATATGATGTAGCTTACATGAAGTATATTTTTCCCCCCTCAGATTCATTCATATCTTTACTTCTTCATATGAAACGTGGACCAATTCATTCTCAGAGCAACAGCATTTCCTACGAGTTAGTTAATTTAGTAGGAACATTTTATCATTGGCCATCAACTTTTGAAGGTAAGAGAGAGTATATTAACTTTTCTCTTGTATTATTTTTGCAATGAGGATACTTACTACAGCAACAGTGTGTGCATAATTCTGATTTCGTGCTTCATATCCATAGTAGGATTTTAGACCAAATTTTTTTATTAGTTTCAGATCTGTTCTGTTTCCAGATCACAATAACACTTTTTTAACTGCCGTGTTTTAACCTGTTTTCAAATGTAATCTGTGATACAGTTCGATATCCATTTTAAAAAATGAATCCAATTTTTATGTTATTACTTGATATTTTGGATGTGTTGTGAAGTGAAATGTTCTTTTTTATGTTACTGTTGTAATGAAAGCAAATTCTTCCATAAAATTTTTAATATTATGATACATTCTGGTACTAATAATTTTATCTGAAATATCTTGGTGGCCATTTCGTTAACCATCACATATCTGCAGTAGCTATTATGACATACCTTTCCATATCACCATATATGCTTGAGTAAATTGAATCTGACAAAATATTTTATAACTTGAAGTTTATATTTTTGCAAGTGCTTCTGGATATCCTTTAATGCTCTTTGAAAATGCTAAGTTTTCTAAAATTAACTAGTCAATAGTTTAATGCTTTAAAATATTTACCGAATGTGCCAATTGAAATTACAAGGTGCAATAAAAAAATTCTGGATCTAGGTACAGAAAAAGAAACTTGCTCAATAAAAAATTGGCTTCGATCCCTTTTAAAACACGAGGCGCATTCAGTAGAAAATGGTATTTTTGGGGGGGGCTGCAGGCTGAAATATTTAATTCTTATGCTAAAATAATTAACATTATTACCACTTATCTTAACAGCATGCCCTTATAGTTCAGTGCACTTTCACCCGCACACAGAAGCTGCAGGAAGGTATCATAGGTATTGCACTTGGATATCACATTTGGGGAACCACATATAGGTATTGCAGGAAAAGAATTATTTTTTATGAGCATAGCTCGTGATTACCAAATCTCACTGTTGTGTCAGAATTCCATCGCAAAGAATCAATAGCCTGTGCCTGCCACCTGTGCTGTTTCTCAATGACCATTCACTGGGAAGAGAGTAGTTTGGTGATGTGCAGCCCTTGTATTCACAAAAATGTCCTCAGCAGTGCGAGTTGAAATGATTATATCCTGTTGGAGCAGTTTGATAGTACAGCATCTCCTTAACTGATGACACAGTGGTGGTGAGGACTTGCTGATGTGGTGGATCACTACAGTGGTGCGAGGACCATTGTCCTAGAATTTCATTATATGCAGCTGCTCATGAATAATATGGCTTTCTGATCCAATACTAATGCCCCATAGTGATGCCAGCACTTAAATCGTAACGGAAATGCACTAATTTTCCCATATCGTGATATCATGTCTCCACAGTTTCAGCATTGTTTTTCATAACCTGATATAAATGCTGCACATGGCCAAGGAGAATTCTCCATGCTAGTAACAACTATGTCCTTGTTACCATGTTGAAATTTTTACCAAATAATGAATCTCTATGGGTTTTGCACCTTTTTTAATAAAAAACTCGGAAGACTCCAGTGCTCTTCCTTGGGGCACTGTTGGGGTTTATGTAATCTTGATGCATTAAGATCATGTCATCTTAGAAAACTATTGCTTCATTTCATATGTCAAAGCTATCTATTGGTTGCTTAATCAATAGCTTATATATCCAGACGCACATAAATATCAATTGTTCTCACAAATTTTATTGCAACTTTGGTTTTATATTGAATGCCTTTTGTAATCACTTATGTCGATGGAGTGATCACTACTTCACAAGAATGCATGATGGAAATGCATTTAAATCTTGCAAGTTTTTATAAATAGCAAAAGAAATATATGCTATTTTCAAATGTCCCTTCTTTTAAAATATGTAGCTATAGTATGTTACTGTTTTAAAGTGTGTTACCCTTAATAACAGTTGATTTTTGAATTACATTACTGGCAGATTTGTATATATATGTATATCGAATACAAATACATTAATACAGTTTTGGATGAAGCTGTTATTGATTAAATTGGACAACTTATCCTTGCAAATATAGGTGACAAAAATTAATCTGTTCTTTTGGTTATTGATTGTTGAATGGGGACTGATTTGTTCCCTTGATAGGTCAATCTCCATTCAATGACAATAATTATTTTATGTTTTCTTTAAAATTTGTAGTCTTTTGCAGTTAATTTTGTTTTTTATTTAAAACATTTAGTTTTTTGCAATTATTTGATTTCTTACGCTTTTACCAAGTACCTTAGTTGATGCATGTTAGTATGTTCTAGCATATAATTTAAATATTTTCCCTCAAGAACATTAAAGTTTTTTTTTTTTTTTTTTTTTTTTTTTTGAGTTTTCTAGGAGTGCAGCTTCAGCACAATGTATTAGGCTTTTTAGTACTTTAAAATTGCCTTTTAATTGTTTTTTGAATATATAGAGAGATACATAGAAAGATATGTAAATAGTTAGATGAAATAATTTACATATCTTTCTATGTATCTCTCTATATATTCAAAAAACAATTTTTTAATTCTCTATATATTTTAAAAACAATTTGAAAACAATTTATTGTAATATGATGACTTGAAGTAAGCTGCAATGGATTGATGATGGTCCTCTGCATTATAACTTGGACAGACTTTACTGCATAGTTAGAAAGATGACACTCAAAGTAGAGACATATAGACAGATGTCGCCGAATTGAATAGGATTTTTATTGCTTGATATGAATTAATTATCAAAAACATATTTTACGCCGCACATCATTACGAACGCAATATGCATGCCACAATTTTATACAGAGTATCACATTTTAGATAATGACGGTAATTAGCAGCAGAACAAAGCAAAGGGTGTGAAGTAACGTCTTAACTGCAAGAGAGCTAAAGTGTCCAGTTATCCAGTATGGAGGCTCATCAAGAGAAGGTTTTTGTTTTAGATTAGAAAGGTTTCAGTTCTCGAAATTTTGAGTTCAGGTCCCAAATTAGCTACATCATCAATGTTGTGCAAGCCATGCAAGATGGACTGATCTAGAAATGATGCAATCCATCAAAGTTATTGTGATTTTTAGAACAGAGAAGGGGAATTAAGGGATTACTTTATTTACTAGTTTAAATTATAATTTTGATTTACATATTTTTTATCTTGCATATATATATATATATACTGAATTTCTTTGCTTAATGTTTTAGACCCTTCACTGTTTGATATTTTTAGGTTCCAATCCATCTGGCTTTGATTGTGATAGTAATAGCTGCAGTAGCATTTGTTCTCCGCTTCCCTCAACGACGGTAGAGTGGCGTTCTTGTTTTGTAGCAGTCGGCCGTCTCCAGACGCCTCACTTGCTGAAAGTTGTTAATCTGTCTGAGGAATCAAAAAATGAATTCAGTTCACGCCATAGCTTGGAATGGAAATTTCTGTTCTTAGACCACAGGTTTGTCAATGAGTTGACATTCTGTCATATTATTTAAAAGCTGAAATAGTTTTCCCCTGTACTTAACAGTTGAGCAGTTCTTATTTACTTAAATCACCAAACTGAAGCCCAAACTGGAATTTTGGCTTCAGTTTAATCTTCAGCTTGGTGAAATATATTTGAAGCCCTGCTGTTAAAAAATCAAAAATTTATCAAAAATTCATCAAAAGTTAAAATATAGTTGAAGCCCTGTAGTTTGAACTAATTGAAGCAGAAGCCTTTCATGTTATTATTATTTTGGTAACTTGTGGTCAGATTATTTTATTAAAAAAAAAAAAAAAAGAGGAGATAAAAAGTTACGAAGTTTTATATTCCATATTTTTTTAACAATAATATGTTTTTAAATATATTTTGCATAAGACAAACTACAGAACTTACCTTTTTAACCTTGCTGTGATACAGAAATCAGAAAGACAGCAGAGATTTTGAAAAAAGTACCATGAGATGGACAAAGGAAAGCAAAATATGTGATGTTTAAAATTCAGGAAATTATTTTTTCAACATACCAAGATTCAAGATATTGAGGTTTGGCTGCTGTTGAAAGTCATTATCTAAATAGATTAAACCCATACAATACTGCTGTAAGAAAAATGAATAAATTTGTATTTTCTTTATAAATAAATTCATTTGCATACAGAGTATCACTGTAAGCAATAAAAAGAATAAAAAACATATAAATTACATGATAAATAATTAAGTGGCGTATACAGGGTGATATTTTTTAAAGTGACAGTGTTTGGAGCACCCTGTAGCGTGATCTAATAGCCGAAATGGCACCAAACTTGGTACTATTTACACTAATCAAGACATGGAAAAAAGGATTCTGTGAAAAAAAAAATTAGTTCTAAAAATCACCACTAGGGCATTTTGTGGTGCTGCTGTAGCTTACAATAAGGAGAATTAGCATAAAACACAGGTATCAAAGAAAAATGCAAAAGTTGTGCGATGACAATGCTAGTAATATGAGCTATAAAAGCAAGTAATAGACAGCTCCGACAAATAATCTCAGCTAAAGTAAACAAGCTCCAGTGGACATGCCTCTCACGTTACCGGAACGTGCGTTACTGGTGAAGCTATATTACATGAATCAATGTAATGCATCCGCAGCTGTTCGGGAATTTCAAATCAGAAAAAAAAAAAAAAAAATTATGAAAGGGGCCCTTTATCGCTGAATAGTCTTAAGAAAATGATTAAGAAGTTCGAGGAAACGGGGTCACTGACCATTTGCACTGGGAGAGGACGTAAATCAGCATCAGAAGATGTAATAACTGATGTGGAAACTGCAATTGTCGAAGGATCACAGGGAACCATTGCTGGTACTAGCCGCGCCCGGGGTGTAGCTCGACAATTGGGCATGAATTATTCCATGGTATGGAGCCACTTGCACAAACTGAAACCAAGTAAAATTAGTTGCTTGCACAAACTGAAACCAAGTGATTATGATAAACAAGTGACATTCGCTCTAGCATTTCTTGCCAGGGTAGAAATTGATGATGCTTTCCCATGTCACATTCTTTGGGGAGACGAGTGACATTTTTATCTCAATGGGTCCGTAAACACATAAAATAGCCGAATTTGGGCTTCTGAGCAGCCCCACACCATGCACAAAATTCATTAAATTCCCCAAAAGTCACTGTTTGGTGTGGTTTCACAGCCGAATTCGTGACCCCAAACATGCACCATAAATGCAGAAAGGTACCACGAAATGCTGCAAATGTTTGTTATTCCACAACTTCAGCAAAGAAACCGTCTCCAACAGACAATCTTTATGCAGGATGGTGCTCCACCACACATTAGTAATAAGGTAAAGTAGCTGTTGTGCCAAAACTTCACTGATGATAGAGTCATAAGTCGCAGTTTTCCAGTTGCATGGCCACCTCGTTCCCCTGATCTCACGCCATGCGATTTTTGTCTCTGGGGTTATTTGAAATCTCAAGTTTATGTTCGTGGAGTATCAAATTTGTCTATTCTAAAGGACAACATAACAAAGACGGTGTGGAATATTCCTCATTATATGTTACATACGGCCATGGAGAATGTTGTGCACAGTGTTATTTCTGAGAACGGTGCTCGCATTGAATGTGGTCTAATTCCTCACCGGGGAAGTTAATGTAGTAAATAAATGTTAATAATTTAACTGCATGATTGTATGCCTTGATGCTTCATGTCTTGATTAGTCTAAATACCAAGTTTGGTGCCATTTCAGCTACTAGATCGTGCTACAGTGTGCTCCAAACATTGTCACTTTAAAAAAGATCACCCTGTATATAAGATGTCAGATAATTCACTGCTGCTCTACAATCATTGTATACGCAGATAATACAGATAAAATAACAAAAATATAAATTTAATATTATATTTATGCAAATATTTTTAAATTGAATATTATGTAATCAATATTTTAAAAATTACTTGTCCTTTTTTATTATTTTAAACACTTATAATTATGAAGGAGAATGGAAAAAATATGCTCACTAAGTTGAAGTTGCAACCAATGCCCAATGCTGCAATTATTTATGTTAAATAGAATGGAACATAAAATTGCACTTTCATTCGTATGGTAGCATCGAAAGTATGCAAATTCGGTGACTGATAATGTGGTGTCCAATGCACACGTTAGAATTCCGGTCTGTAGTCTTGAGCTTGATCTGTGTTCAGTAGTTTTGGCTCAAAGACATCATTTTAAGTGAAAGTCAAAAGTGGCAAATAATTGGTAGAATCAAGGGAGGTCAAATGCAAATGGAGGTTGCCCAAGCTTTGAATATCCTTCAAAGTGTCATATCTAGAGTTTGGAGCCCTTTTTAAATACTGATAAGTTAATAGGCATCCTAGTCAATAGTGATCAAGAGCAACAGCTGCATCGGAAGACCGTTTTCTGTTGTTGCCTCGAAGAAACCGCAAAGCAACTACTGGAAATTTGGTTTTAGACCTTCAGGCGACTGCCACAATACTGATATCAGGGTTACCTGGAAAACCGGGAGAACCGGGAAAAGTCAGGGAATTCGAAAATTGACCAAAATATTCAGGGAAAAGTCAGGGAATTTAAGTATTTTTGTCAAAATCTGGAAAAGTCAGGGAAGTTCATACAACGATCCCGCCAAAAAAAAGCGATTTTTGCGCCGACGTCGGAAGAGATAACTTTTTTGGCGAATTATGTATCACGTGAGTGTCATTCGGGTAGCTGGCATAGAGCCAATTTTCGCAGCTCCAATTTGATTGTCTTTTAGAAAGGCAAAGCAACTTTCCCGCAACTTTTGGTTTCCAGTATTCTCGAGAATCGCATGTGCAGTGCATGAACTAAAGAAAGTACCTGTTCTCGTATAAAACAAAATGGGTTTAATCCTAGTATACGGTACCATGGAGGTTAGAATCAAAGAATATGTATTGTAAAGAAGGAAAACCTCTCTGCAACAGACGTGGCTCCGTTCCATCATAGAGGGAAACAGCTGTGCATGTCTGATATATCTGTCGCCAAAGCTCGAAACCGGTGTCGAAGTTCGAAGGTCACGTTATCAAGAGTTCATAAAATGAATATCGTTTAAAATTTCTTTAACCACTTGCGCTAAAAAGACGTGCCACGCACGTCGAGATGCTTTTGTCTCAAACCGCGAGCGACGTGAACACCACGTCGATAAGCATTTATCGCAAAAATGAAAATAACGTGGTGCACACGTCGCCTAACAACGAGATTGTTTATTTCTCGAGTTACAGCTCTGGATTGCACTCGCAGATGCGGAGCGGCGTAAATGAGACACTTTACCGCTTGTTATATTGTAGCGCACGGCACCGCAACCGTGAAGTTTAGTCTTAGCGCAAGTGGTTAAACTCTAAAGGAAAAAAAATATTTTTTGGCGCAAGTAAATTAATTCATGGATTATTATTTTCAGGGGAAAAAAAAAAAACTACGAAAAAAATCCGTTTTTAAAATTATTGCGTGGATTTTCGCAATAATTTTAAAAACGAATTTTTTAAAAACGAATAATCCTGAAATTAATTATAGCAGTCTGATGACATACCATCACGAAATTTAATGCACATATTTTTTCCTTATGTATGCTGCGAAATAAATATAAAATACCTCAATTTATTAAAATAGATTTCTTTCTTCCGTTTAGCTGCAGAATGTCTGCAAAAAAAGCCTTATTTTATTCCAGATTGGGAAGATTCTAATCTCAATCTTCAGTGGAGAAAACAACAACTATTATAATTATATTTGTGTTTTCAAGTGTTAAGGTGCCTTTTAAGAACATACCTCACACAAATTAAATTTACCTAAAATCTAACCTAACTATTTAGCATTGCGTTGTGATTTATAAGGACCAGATTAGCCTCGTGTTGAACTGGTGATGATCATGAGTAATAATTAAATGAAACATACATTTGTTATCCAATGTATATATCTTAAATTTTATTAAGTGGAAAAGTAAACAAAATTATCAAACAAAGTATACCAAGAATAATTAAGAATAAATGTCCTCTGGGATTTATTGAATAATTAAGTGAATTTGCTACACAATACAAGTAATACCATAATTAATTTACCTCTTAGCACAGCCAACGTACATTACGCAGATAGACTGGAATTTTCTTGAACACACCTGGAAAACCTGGAAAAGTCAGGGAATTTCATTCTCCTGTTTGAGTGGCAACCCTGTGATTTTAAGCCATTTTGCTGTTGCATGAAGGTTTAATGAGCTTGGATGGTATGTGAGAAAACCATACCGTCCGTAAACCATATTGTCTCTCACTCACTCCAACTTCCAGAGGGGCCCATTTAAATAGGTGCTGTCACCATATTCAATGGAGCCAAGACGACTGGGCCCAAGTAGTATTGTTTACTGACGAGTCCATATATAGTCTGAACAGTGGTTCTACATGTGTTTTGATCTGGAGAGGTGAAGGAACATGCAATGGGTCTTCCCTTGTCTGTGAAATATCCTATTTCTGCAACCATGGTTTAATGGTTTGGAGAGGAATCATGACAAGTGGCTGCGCCAAGCTGCATATCTTTCAAGGAAGTTCTGTAATTGTTCGAAGATGAATCATGACAAATGTCTTCAGTGAGCTGGGTATCTTTTAAGGAATTTATGTGCTCGTTCGGAGATATGTGAATGAGGCATTGGAACCCCAAGTCAGACTGTTTAGGAGTGCTGTTGGCCCAGAGGTTTTGCTAATGGATGACAGTGCTCAGCCTCATCGAGCATATGTGGTGTCCAAATACTTATCTCGAATGGATTTGCCATCTTACTCACCCAACTTGAACCTGATTGAGCATGTGCTATATGCCATAGGGTGCCAAATTCCTCACTAGACCTCCTTAGAGCTGAAAAGTGTACTTTTAGAAGAGTGACATGCAATTCCTTAAGACTTGATTGTCTGAGTGACCATACATATTAATTTTTTCCCCCCATAAGAGAGACTAATTTTTCCACTATTTTTCAATTTCCAGAAATTTGGTTTTAATTTCAGAATTTTGCGGATAATCAACACCAAATGTTGTAATTTGTGTTAACTAATGCTTTTGTACAGATTTCTAATAATTTTTTATTAAGTATCAGTTACATTTTATTTTTGTCATTACTGTTTAATTTTGATGACTATTGTATAATAGTTCAAAACATTTAAGCTTCTTTCCAGTTCAACATTTTTGACTGCATGTGAGTGTTTTCTTATGATAGAAATGATGCTTAGTTTGTTTTTCTTGTGGAACAGCTAAGTAGTTTAAACAAACTTGATCTGCCATCAACATTTTCATTTATTAAAGGTCTTTCTGTGCTCATGTTCCATTAAAATTAAGGTAGTAGTTTTTTAATGAAGTTCAAGTTTTTCTTTGAGCTGTTGATAACATACATGATGTAAAAGCCGAACTTTTAAGTCCAGTGTAATAATTACTTGATATTCATTCTTACTTCGTACTTGTTGAATTCAGTAATTTAAATTTCATTAATAAACAAATGTGTAATGAAAATTTTATTTTCAGAGCTCCTCCTATTATTGGCTATTTACCATTTGAGGTTTTGGGCACGTCTGGCTATGATTATTACCACGTTGATGATCTCGATAACATTGCTGCTTCACATGAGCTTTGTAAGTAATAAAACTATGTATATATGTGTATGTATGTAATTTTTTATTGTAGGTGAGTATGTATCTGTATTTAAGTCTACATGGTATAGAGAAAAGTTATAGAAGAGGAGAGTAATACTTTTTTATACACCTCTTAAGTGGTGTTGATTATTTTCAATGAGTGAATTTCATATCCTTGTGTGACTCTCAAATTAAGCATGGATTTCATATCAAGATTCTGGACCACTCTGTTCTGCCCACACTGTGGTATGTGACTATTGAAAAAAAAATGTTCAAGGAGATAGACCCACCTGTTCAAACTGTTGACTTTGACTTCCCTGAGGATATCTAGAAGAGAATGAAATATCAACTGTAAGCTTGGTCCTAATGATCTCCATATGTGACAAGAGTAGCCACTTTTATTTGCTAGATTGGCATGCAATTCTGATTAAAATTACACTCTATAACAAAAAAAAAAAAATTGACGCACCAAGAAAGAGTTGTCCGATGAAGACAAAAGGTAGTGGATAGGAGGATTATGTACAGAATAGAAAATGATTAAAATTTCAGAACAATTGAATGATTTATTTCAGAGCTACATAGTTATAAAGTAACAAGTTGACCCACCTCTAGCCTGGATGCTAGCTGCCACTTGGTGTGGCATAGACTGATAAAACTCCTCGATGGTCTCCTGCAGTATTTCTTGCCAAATTCGCTCCAATTGTCAGGCTAAGTCATCAACATTCTCTGGTAGATGCAGTCACCTTCGCATCATATCCCAGACATGCACGATGGGAAAGGAATATGGCGATCTGGCTGGCCAAGGAAGTGTTTGACAAGCTGTAAGACAGTTCGTAGCAATATGTGCCATATGTGGTTTGACATTACCTTGCTGAAAAGTAAGGCCAGTGTTCTGCAAAAGGAATGGTAGCAAACCAGGTTTCAGAATGTAGTAGATATACCGGTATGCTATAAGTGTGCCTCTAATGACAACCAAAAGGATCCGACTATCAAGGGAAATGGTACCCCAGATCATAACTCCTGGTTGAAGGCCGTTGTGGCATGCAATAGTGAAAGCAGGATCAGCATGCTGCTCATGGCATCTCCATACCCGTCTTCGATGATCGTCACAACACAGTTGGAAGCGGGATTCGTCGCTAAAACTATACATCCCCAGTCAGCATCATTCCAACCTGTTCGAGCCAACACCACTGTAATCTGGCTCAACAATGTGCAGGTGCGAGTGGCAGGTGGCATAATGGTCGGTGCGAGCCTAGATTTTGCTTTATCTGTGAATGGTCATGGTGGACACTCGTGTGTGGGTCACATATCTGATGGTTGATAACGATGAATCGGGTGCTGTGACAGCTTGATCTGACCATCACTGTGTCATCTGATGTGGCCCTAGGTCGACCTCTACCATCATGACACTGAAATCTGCCATTGTCCACCCATTTTTGCCAGCATCTTCTAATTGTCGTATCACTTTTGACTCATATGATGAGCAAGTCTCTGATTTGTCCAACCTGCCTCTTTCCATCCAATGATATGATCTCTTTCAAACTCTAACATTTGCTCATAATGAGCTCAAATCCTGCGGCAAGGCAATTTTGAGTTGTTGAAAGGTATCCTAAATCACAATGCAACAGAAATTTTTAACAACAAGAATAGCTCCTTATATACATCTGCTAGATGCGCAGTTCCGATGCGCTGGAGGTAGCACTGTTCATTCATTGGACACCAAATTTTAATCATTTGCATATTTGGTCAAAACACTTATGCATACAAAATTTCAAAGCACTCGAGTGATTCCTTCTAGGTGCGTCTATTTTTTTATAGAGTGTACTTTAAAATAAATTACAAGTTTCTGCCATTTGTGCCAAAGAGCCCAAAAGAAAGGTGTTCAGGTATTGATCAGATGGTGTATATTACTGAAAAATTTATGAAAAATTTAATTCATTTAGAATTTCTGTTTTTACTCTTTAATTTTGATGCTTTTTACAGTCATCATATGCATAAGTTTATAACACTATAAAGCAAAAAATGATATTGTTTGCATATGATGGAACTTAATGCTATGTAAAATAACTGAATAATCAAAAGTATTCAAAAATAAAACTATGTCTTAGATGAGTTGTACCATCTTTTCAGGGGGTGGTTTATACTGTATAATGTAACGGAAACAAATTTATATAATTTTGCTTATAAAGTAGCTAATTGTTTATTAGTTGTTTGTTGAATTTAATTTTTGGCAGTATTAAATTATTTATTTGAAGCATTACTCTCTTGCTGCATTATCTTGTTGCACCAACTACCTGAAGAGATATTATGATACATATAATAATTTGTTTTATTTTTTGAATTCTGATTATTATTTTGTTGTTTTCAGTTTTTATTATTATTATTATCATTTTCCCTATGCTTCATGTTTTCTTTTAAACACTGATGCATCAAGTTCTAGCTGATCTGTAAAGATTATGAGAACATTTTTTCCCCTGGTCCATAATTTTTCTTACCAAATTTATTGTAGCTTTTAGCACTTGTTTAGTTAATGGATTTATTTCAGCTATTTCAACTTATTATTATCAGCATAGGTAACAGTGTAATTTATCAATTAAAAAATCTAATCAAAATGAAAATGCACTCGTAAGTTATGATCTGTAAGTTATCATTAGAAATTGCATCTGTTTTAATACTTCCATAGTCGTAACAGATGGTGATCAACTTTTCTGAAGTTATTATTTTCGTATTTTCAGTAATGCAGACTGGAGAAGGAACGTCCTGTTTTTATCGCTTCCTGACTAAAGGTCAGCAGTGGATATGGCTTCAAACACGTTATTATATTTCTTACCATCAGTGGAATTCAAAACCAGAATTTATCGTTTGCACACACACTGTAGTTAGGTAAGGCATAGAACATTTTGAATTTGCAAACTAGTTAGAATTCATATACAGTTTAATTATACTAATAAACTGTCAAGAAATAGCTAAAAGAATTTAGGGGTGGATGTCATAATTGAATTTAGTATAGCTAGAAAAACTCCAGATTTAAGTCATTGTTGTCGTACTATGTAAAATAAATGAGGTCTGTGTTTGTTATGTGCACTGCTCAAAAAAAAAGGGGGGACAGTGCTATATCTACGGTTCTACTGGGCCTATTGACAAAATTCAAACTGTGTTTTTCATGTCTTGAAAGCGTGACTTAGGATATATATTAGATTTATATATAGCACTATTCTAACATAGGTATTTTGACACAAAATTGGACTTTTCTGAAATAACATAGCAATTTTATTCCATATTTCGATTCTACTACTCAAATTATGCCAGAATGTCAAGTTTTGTAAAAATCGCACGAGTAGTTTTTAAAACATTAGCTCTCAAAATTTTAGCTCCTCAGTGTTAATTGAATTTGGCAAATAATTATTAATATCTCTTTTTTTATTAAACTTTTTTGATTTTTTTTTCACATTTCAAAATTTAGGTTCATTCCAAATAAAATTTACCCATTTTTTTGTGGTTTATTTTTTAAATTTCTATTTTTGAATAATTTTTATAAATTCTTCAAAAAAATTTTGAATTATAACCTATAAAATTTTTACCATCATCTTAAATTATGTGTATTTCTAAGCATATTTGCAAAAAATTAGACTTTTTTATTCAAAATTTTCTAAGATATACACAAATTTACATATTTTCGCATTTTGAAATTTGGCATATTTTTTTTTTTTTTTTTTTTTTTGAGCGATAATAATGCCAAATGTGGTTATGGATTTTGTTACAGTGAATTGCCACAGCTATTTTAACCTTAAATTTTAAATAAAATTTTACAGAGAATTAATTATACAAATTTTTTTCCCTCAATGATGCATAATAAATATTTATTAATTTATATGAAAAGCTATTTTTAATTATAGATGAATATTATTCAAATTTTTAACAATTTTTTAAATTTTTCTCTTTCTTCCCTTTTTAAAAAAAAAAAAAAAATATTTGTAAGAGTAAATTTTTATCTTCGGCGTTTTATCATCTGCTAATTTACTTTAACTTTGTTTAAATCGAATTGTCTAAAGCTGAGAACTTTCGTTTGATGTTTATTTGAATTTTATGAAAATATTTTATGACATTAACTGCATAATTTATTTCTAAACAAGCTGTTGCTTATGAAGTGGCGCAAAGAGCGGCTAATACTATCATCCATATTTTTAAAGTACAGTATATTTTTATAGAAACATAAGATGTAGAATAATCATTTTTATAAAACTATGATATAAACATACAACCCTCTAGAGACCGAATTAATAGAAGTTCACTGGTTATGTAGAAATGATCTGCAGCTACTTAATGGCTGGATAAGTCATCACATTCTGTGGACAAGTAAGAATAATTATATAAACGACACCCAACATTCTGGATTCAATTAACAACGAGGGTACAATGTTTATTAAATGAATTTAAGAAGTTTTTAAACATAAAAAATCAACTCATTTTTTATCCTAAAATGTATTTTTATTACAGTTAAAAGTCGTTAATTCGGACACCCATAATCTGGAATGATCTATAATCTGGACCTCAAAGCTACAAACTTTCTGCGCATGTGTCGCGTTGACGCATGCACAGATGCGTTGATGCGTAAGACCTTTTACGGCTGCGAATACGCGTATGCGCATGCGCAAAATACGTTTACGAATGCGCGTTTAATGTATAACGGACGGTATAAGCTATGCTAAAATTATCTAATTCAGTTAATGTTGCAGATTGCATTGTTCCTTAATCTTCGAATTGGATTCGGCTTATTATTTTTTGCAGACTGTTAGAGCAATTTTATAAAAGTAAGCTTGAACTTTCGATTATGTCAAATAGAATTTCCGATATATATTTACTAATATGTAAAGGATCTACAAAGCGAAAGTATGTTTAAAAGTCCATTAAACAAAAAGTGGAATTGCTGCAAAAAATGGATAAAGGCATATCCTTTGTTTATCTAAACTTTAACATTTGTTTATCTAAACTTTGTTTATCTTTAACACCGTAGCGTGCAATGAATTGGAAGTTTTTCTGTCAGCACAATCCTTATCTTCAGGACAGATGTTTTTATTTTATTTGGCTTATAATTCCTCACTAAATGTAGTATTTCATCTCGATGTACTCCGTCTTTGATATGATTTAAATCAAATTCCTCGTCATTATAATTCGCTTCCGATAGCGAAGAAAGTGACAGAGGTTTTTGAAAAGGAAAAAATTTCGATTGACAAATTAGTCGGTAGACACAGCAATTATATGACTTGAACAGCGGAACTTTGTAACTGAACAAGAAATTATGTCTGTTTATAGAATTAAAGAGAATGTATTATCAGGTAAAAGACGAAGCAACTTAAACAACTTACATAGAAAGAAATGTTTAATAAAGTAAACAAATAAATATTAAGCTTTTTTTTGTAAAATTGATACCCTTAGATCATAATTGTTCTTTATTTCATAAATTACGGTTTCATATTTTTAATTTTATAATTTCTGCATGCCATCTTACCAGATTTAAACTGATGATCTATAATCCGGAATCGCCGAAGTCCCAACGAGTCTGGATTAACGACTTTTGACTGTATATCCTTAAAATTCTAATTTAGAATGTAACTGTCAAGAACTGAAGTCTAATCATCAGTAATTTAATAAGTAACTATTATGGTTATTAATAAAGATATTATTTATTTCCATTTCAGTTCTTACCGTCAGCTCTAGTAGAAGTTACAAATCAATTATATTTAAGGAATGACCATCTAAGTTTAGAAACAGCATACCGTAACAGCAATTCAATTATTGGCGCCGTATCTTTCATGTTACTCCCGATTGGCAAGCTACATGATTTTTAATGAGTATTTGGGTTTTGCTAGTAACTTCACTTGGAAATTGTGGTCAAACTAGGTTAGTTGGTTATTTCAAGATAGAAAGAACATGGGAGCTATTTGGTTAAGATGCTTTCATAGAGAACCTTTGTAAAGAGAACCAGAAAACTATGAAAACCAACCATGCAGCCTGGGTTAGACTTCGCAACAAACAATTAGTATTTAACAATCTTCAAATGCTAGGCAACTGGTGAGGCTCCAATTAAATCTCCAATTTAATATTTTATTTGTAAATATTTAAAATATTGTTGTATTCTTAGACGCAAAAAGCAGAATTTAAGTTTTGTGAACTCGTTAGTAAACTACCAAGCCATAGTGCGAATGAATATTCAATTTCTTTTGCAATAATTGTACTAACTTAATATTCTTGGAATAAAGAAGGAATGTTGTCGAAAGATTAAAGAAATGTTTAAATCCAGTGATATTAGGTTTGTCTTACAAGCTCAGGATCAAAACGATTCTGCAATTGCCCGAATAGTTGACTTGTAAATAGCTGTGAATTAATCGCTGACTTTTAATCTTATGTTATGCAGTCAGAAAACGTATTCCAAATGTTCTGTATTGCATGACAATGCATCTTTTCATTATTCAATAACCAATCGGAGAACTGCTTGTGTTCCAAAAATAAGTATGTGTACTCTATTGTCCTGCATGTTCTTCAAATTTGTCTTCTTGTGATTTTTTTTTTCTTTACCAAAAAACTAAAGTTGCCTCTCAAAGGAAAGGAGTATGACATCTAGTTTCAGAGGCATGTCGAAAACAGATCTCTACAAGCCTTCTCTTCCATTACATGTTGTGCATTCAGACAAAAAATTGCATCAGCATAAATTCTATAATCTATTTTTATTACATTCTGATTACTTTATTAACATAGAGTGAGTATATACCAAACCTTTTACTTCAGCTTCAGTAATTCGGAATTTTTGACGGAATTGTTGTCGGAACTAGGACTTAAAGATAAGTCAAATTGAATATTTTGATAATCCAATAAATTCAAGGTTAAAGTTTCAATATTTAATTTTCGGAGGGAGAGGAAATTTTTTCGGTTTTTATCCATTATTTTAAGTATATTCGCTTCGATTCTTTTTTTTTTTTTTTCCATAAAAGCGAAAATCGTACGAATGGTATGCATATAACGCATAACTTCAAATTAAAATTTAATAATATACAGGGTGGTTATAATTAAAGTTCCACTTTGAAATGATCATAAAAGGAAAACTACTGGATCAAATGTTATCAAACTTGGTAATCGTGTAAAGGAGGTCATGGGAGCTTATTTTCCGTGAAAAAAAGAAAGTTCGAAACCTCACCACCAGGGGGAAATGGCGCTGTATGCAATATTGTTAAACAAAATATGGGTTGGACTCTAACTTAACCTTTTGTTACATGGGTTTAATATGTTATATACCCTTAAGAAACTTTGAAGTAAGCAAATTACCATTTAAAGGCATTAAAGTCGATAAAAGTCGAGTGCGCCATCTATGTAAGGAAGAAATTCGTCCGTGAAACCCATGAATTAGCGATTAGAAAATGTGAAATCGCAAATCAATCACAAAAGTGCGCACAATCTGGAAATCGTTTTCTTACAGGTCGCTAATTTGTAATTTTTTAAGCCTGAATTTGACCCTAAAACATGAAGATACTGATTCAAAACGCTTTTAATCGATCTGAACCAAAGAAATCCCTCATGTTATCTACCTAGTACCATTGCATTATCCTACTGCATTCAATTGCATAGCAGTCATTCCACACCGTTTGGTTCATAACTGAACCATTTTTCTCCGAAGAGCAGTCGACAGCTGGACCACTGTGATTGCAGCTAGCTTAGAGTCAATGTTAAAATGTTTCGTGATACATGAACTGCAGTAACATGGTATTTTAGATACTATGATTTTTATGCAGTTCTGGGCCCCACCTCGCATGTGTCTCACAGTTACTTAGGCAACATTTCACGAATGAACGTCTTATAGGCCGACACTTCCCTCTTCCCACCAGACCTCA